TAATAAACATTGATAACAAATTATTATTAGTATTAGTATTAGTATTTTATACTCTATACCAAAGTGCATTCCAATAGTCAAAAACAGTTAAAATACAACCATAAATATAATTACAATGATAAAAACATACAGTAAGCAATTATCATTCAATAAGGTAATAAACAAACAATCAAAACAGCTATAATAACAATATAATAATTAAAGTACAGTAATTCTATCCCAATAATTGCCTATTTTAGTCTCTTGGGGGGGTGTCATTAAATGCTATGTACATTATTCAGAGTTTGAAAGGGTTGCTTCTATGAATGACAGCTCCCTGAAACCCTAGAGGTTGTGGCTAAGTTGAGGGCACAGGGAAGATTTAAGTGAGGAGACAAAGGATGCCAGCCCTTCCAGCCTCAGCTCCATTGCACCACTGGGCATAGCGGAGCTTGGAAAAGGTACTTTGGATTAGAGTTCTCAGAACTTCCCAGCCAACGTGAGCAGAAACCATGTTGTGTAGGGTTTCAAGGAGTTGTCATTCATAGAAGCAACCCTTTCAAACTCTGAATAATGTACGTAGCATTTAATGACACCCCCCAAGAGACTAAAATTAAGCCGATCTAAAATTTCCTACAACCCTTTCATACTTTCTAGAAGGTTTTAGCCTTGTCCTGGGGTCATAATATTATATGGTTCTGCCCTCCCTCCCACTCCATATAATTGACTGCCACTGAAGGCAGAAATCAGCAACCAACCCAGTTCTCATAATCTGTGTAGGCTTGTAAAACAAACGGGCAGACCTACCCTCCAGTTTCAAGGATGGATACTGAGGATCATCAAAGCAAAGGCACCTTTTTATTACCGGTACTTATTCGTATTAGAAATGGGCATATCTGCTACTCTCTGTCTTCTTCTCTTTTAAGTTTTACCTTTGAGAGGCGATTCATTCTTTCTTCATTATCCTCCATAATCCGTAAACTGGGTGGCACGTACCAAAAGCAAACATTTGTGTGCTGAGGCTAATTAAAGAAGAAAAACAACATATATTTTATTGTATGAATCTACGATATAAGGGCAGCTCAAACTGTAATAAAATGCAAAAAAAAAGTGTACTGCTCATATACTGCCCCATAGCTCTAAAAGCATTGTCTGGGAGGTTTACAATTTAATTATGCAAGCTACACATTGCCCCTGCCCTCCAGTGAGTTGGGTACTCACTTTATAGACCTCAGAAGGATGAAAGGTTGAGTCAATCTTGAGCTCTCTACCTGAGCCCATTGAGACTGAATTGTGAGCCGAGCCTTGACTGCAGTACTGCAGTTAAATCTGCACCATGAGGCTCCTATAAAATGCATGCTTTCCTTTTTCTGGTTCTTCCTGTGACAGCAATCAGTTGCTGCATTTTTTGTTGACTTTAGTTAACATCTTGTGATCAATGAATATGCTTCTTGCAACTTATTTGGAGGAAATCACACAATGGGTGAAACCCAGCAGTAAGTCACAGTTAGAATAGCGCCATAGAATCAGTGGAGACTTCTTCATATGTTAATTCAACAGCTCTACTCTAGTTGTGACTTATTTCAGTTATTGTTATTAGTAGTAAGAGATATTCATCGTACCAGATATGCTTCCTTAAGAGAGGAACATTGAAATTTCATAATCAGTTGCAATAAATAGACAATTGAAAACACAGATGGAATTTAGTAGAGCAGTAATATTCCTAGTTTAGGCATACTACACCTATGATACACATGCCAGCATACCCTTGATGGAAAAAAGAAAAGAAAAAAAGTCAATATTGATGACTCTTTGGCCATCCAAATGTTTTCTCTTAACACCCTACCCATTGATCATGTAAGTTGTCATGCCTAAAACATCTGGAGCACCTTTTTTTTCTTATTGTGATACACATCAAAAGTGTAAGAAGGTGACCAATTAAATTCTGGCAGTGCTTATAAAACTTGCCCAGTCTCAGCATAGCACTACACTTAATGCTTCATTTCTAAACACATTTACTATAGAATAAACATCAATGAACACAGTCGAACATTTCCAAATGAACCTGTATGGAATTGAACTGTTAATCTAATTTCCACAAATTAAATAACAACAATGCATTCTCAGAAATAAACCTGGAACTACAACACCCAACTAATAAAGAGAGACATGACAGTTCAGTGATAGATTACCTGCATAGATTAAATGGTCTAGAAGAAGAAGAAGATGACTAAACTGAGTTGATACGTATGGATACGTTGGACGCATGGAGAGAAGGCAAGACTGCCCATCCACAGTCAACACATAAACAACAGACAAAGCAGGCCTCTTGGCCAGCTGATCCTAGTCCTCCCCATTATGGGAAGAAATATTGTGTTTCTATGTAAATTGGAGTAATCATTTTCATATGTGTATATATTCACATAAATTAGGAAATGGAAACATATGAATACTTGTGTTACATTTATGTATCTCCTTTTGGGGCAAAAGGATGATTACACCTTTTTGATGAGGTGTAAAAGATCATTCAGATTGGACTAAATGGGCAAAAGTTATAATTTCCCATGTTCCAGTTCATGTTTGGATAAGCTGATTTGTTAGATTACTTCTCCCAGAATCATCAATCCACCTGTCCTTGTTGGCTGGTAGTTTATAAGACCTGTAGTCCAGAAAGCAGCTTCCCAAAGCATTGGATTCTTCCTGCATGATGGGCAGCAGAACTAGCTAAAGAAACAATCTTTTGGTACCAAAGCTGACTTCATTATTAATAAACTCCAAGGGTGGTCAATGGTTACTCATATAGTTCTTTAGCAATTAAATCCTGTGCATGTTAATCAGAAGGAAGCTTTTCTCCATTCAGTGGTGCTTTTCCTTTAAGGCAACTGTGCCTATGACATAAGCTTGAGCTGCTACCTCCGATTCAAAGCTAAAACAATGACCTACCTTTCCATCAAACACCATTTCAAAGCCTTCTCGGTTCTTTATTTTATTATACAAGTACTCGGCAAGTTCCAAACACTTGTCGATGTGTGCTTCAAAACCTATAGTGCCCTTTGGAACAAGAAAAAAAAGAGATGGACTGGAGTAAATTGAAGCAAAAAAAACAAAAACAAATGCAAAATACATCTATACCTCAAAGCAATCATTCTGAAGGAGAGAAAAGGAAATACTTCCTTGTTTTGGAACAATGGATGAAACGTCAGTCACTGAAAGGTCACAGATTTTTTTGGCCACTACCCTGTTACATAGCTTCACAGGCACAGTGGGAGTGACATCAGCTGCAATAGCAGACTGCTGATTAAGAGATCCTGCTTCCATTGTGGATTGTGCATGACTCGTGTACAATGAGACTAAAAGTCACACATAATCTAAAATAGAAGCAGGAAATTTTTATTTAGCAACCATCTGCTCATAGCATCACTTCCACTGCACCAACAGAGTGAAATCCGAGATGATTTGGGGCACTATTTTGAAGACCAAATTGCACAGTCATGGTAAGAATGGAATTATACTCTGTGTGTGTGTGTGTGTGTGTGTGTGTACACACACACACACACACACACACAGATCCATTACATAGGAGATGATGTGTATATTTAATGGCTCACACATTTCCTCCCTTCTTGTAGTTATAATTAAAAAATTGCTCTGCTACATGGCATCATTAGCCCCAGGAACATTTCACCTGCATCATTAGATGTATTCACCTTCCAGGAACTAATACCAACTCTCTCTCTCTTTTTCTGTGAGAATTTCATCCAGATTGCAGTGGAGGAAAAAAAAATCTAATTTATCTCCCTGCCTGCTATTCATTGTTTAAGAATTTAAAAGGTTTTTAAAAAAACAAAAAACAACAACAATACTTCGAACCAAAAAAAGCCCAATTAAGTGACGACACAAGGATTGATAAGTATTAATTAACTGGATGATTCTATGGGGATTCACAATAAATCATTGAAAAGGGTTGAAAAAACTATATATAAGTTTTCAATGGTATTATTTTACAAAGGGCCACGCCTAATTGATGTCATTCCATTTCTGTTTCCCATTTTTCCCTGGGGTGGTTTTGGGCATAGGATTCTGGGAGCTGTCATCCAAAAATAAATTTCCTAAGTGTTGATTCTGTCCACGTTTGCTTTAAAGATGAGAAACTATGAAAAACAAGTGGGGAAATTGACCAACAACACTGAACTGCAGCACATGTTAACCTGGTCACAGCCTTCTCCTTGAAGATGTATTGTTTTGTATATCTGTTGTGTGGCAAATTGTATGGAAATCTGTGTCCCTTTGTTGGAGATACTCCTCTTCCTGTTTTGGTTTTTACTCTTCTTTAATGTGAAAGAAGATGACTTACCAACAGTGTTTTCTGGGCTGCCAGGTTGTCTGATAACACCCCCCCAAAACACCCATCTAGTTGCACAATAAAGACTCATAAAGACTCCGATTTAGGCCTCCCTATACATTTGATGGGCTGCATTTGACGATGTGGATCAAAAGTCAGACATAAAATAGGGGCAATCTGATTCAAGGTTACCAGTAGGATGATAATGCTAATAAAGATAATGAAAATAAAATGAAACATGAACTGTGTTTTTTTAAGGCCGTTTTAATATGCATGGTTCCATGCATTGCTAAAGAGATTCTGGAAGAGAAATATAAAATCATTAAGCAGGAAGCATTTATTTGGCTAAGGTCCTCAATTGCAGCTAACCTAGTCCTTTGAGATTCCTGACAAATATGCTCAGAAAGGAACAGATTTTTAATTAGTTTTCCCACATCAATAATATGCCTCTTTCTAATTGCTGCATAAAATGCACACAGGTGTTCTAGTCACAGTTTTGCCCTGTCTAGTTTTAAGAATTCCTACAACGAAATCCTCTTGTGTTTCTTGAAAGCTTTTAGCCTGATCACGTTAAATCGTGACAGTTAAGCTACCAAATTGGCTTGAGCTGAAGTGCAGTGATTGTTCCATGAGATTATAGGACCTCAGCTCAAAAGAAACAACCAATTTCTTACACATAAAAATGTGGCCTGGCTATGTTTTTATCTGTGTGACACACAGAAAGCTTGCATTAGAGTGGACTGCGGCTTTCTCCTTACAGGCCTGCAGGAGCCATGAGCAGCTGTTGCCTAGCAACTGATTTATGACTCTTCCTCATCCAGAGCCTAGTATAATGGCTGGACTGAGGTTGGACTATTATTATTGACTTAAATGAGGCATGGGCAAGTAGCAGAGGCTGGTGGCACTTTGCTATCTCCTGACCTAGATCCAGTTTTGCCTTTGAAAAGGGACTTGACTCTTGAAACATGTCGCATGGGGATAACACATTTTGTTTGAGAGGGAGGCACCAGGGAGTGCTACAGTACTTGGTTCCCAAGCAAGGTAGCATATAACTTTGCATATAACTTAGAACAGTTACTTTTCTAAAACTGACAGTGGAGCTTTTTCTTGCCATTGCTGCACTGCGCCATACCAAAATTCAGTGGTGGAGTGGCTGGAACAACAAGCGTGGTTTCTTGGGGTCCTGCGGTGAGCGCTGCAAAATTACAAGGGTGTGTGTGTTGAATTTATGTAAACACCTCCACTTGCTTTCTTGGAGGCAGAAAGGAGAGGGGCAGAACCTGCTTCAAACAGAACCCACATGTACTTATGCTTTCACCCATGGAGTGTCCATCATCACAGTGGTGACTGGTGCCCACTGGTAGGATGGAACTGAATGGGTAGGGCAAAACAGTGCATTTATACATGTATGTATACACACAGGGAGAGGCAGGCAACCAAACAACCACATATATAGTAGGAAGGGAATCCAGGTGGAACCCTGACCTTCCACCGCTGATAAAGAGGTAGGAATGAGCTGGCTGGGGAGAACCTCAGCCTCAGGGTCAGGTAGTGCACTCTTCATTCTAATGGAACTGGCCTCCTCACTACATCATTACCTCTTCCCACCTTTCCCTTGCCCTCCCCAAAACCTAGCTTAGGATAGGAACTGTTGTGGTCAGAGAAAGAACAAGAAGTTCATTCTTTTGGTGAGGATTCTGGTGGCCAAGAGGGACAGGGGTGAATTCTGCAGCACAACTTATCAAAATGGCAGCCCCCCCATAGCCGCACACCCAAGGAGAACCCAAAGGAGCAGGTAGCTGGTTCCAGCAGCTTTCAGCTCTTATCAGGAGCAGGTCTCATGTAAAGCTTTCCATTCAAGGCCAAACCACCATAATCTCTTTGCGTTACATTCACCATGACTCACATAAGTACATTGCTCCTGGGAAAATCACTTTTCTCCCCCTACTCTGAGGACTGCATGTAAGCTCAGCAGGAAAAAAAATAACATGAGAGTGCTTGGGAGATGCTAACACCAGTTCTGTTAATCAAAATCCTGGTGGTATTTCAAACCTTCAAGGGCTGGCTCCTATATGACACTGCTGGGGAAAGCTAAGAAGGAGTTTGGGTCTATAGGTGTTCAGCCTTAGGATCCTGAGAGAAAACAGTTTTGGTTGGACTCCCCATACTTATAACTTTCAGTGGGAGTGGAGAGATGAAAAAGCAGCAGAGTTCCTTTTTTTTCACTGCAGCTCCCAGAATCACTCAGCCAGCATCAGTTGCCATACTGACTAGGGGATATTGGCAAATGCAGTTAAAAAAAATCATTTCTAGGCTCTGAAGAGGAGGAGAAGGTTGCATTGTCAGGGGCTCATGCTTTTGAGTGGAACAGCATGGCAGTCAACCATGCCTGCTTGAGCAAGCAAAGGAGGTAAATGAAGACTACCACCATGAAATTGAAATAGTCTAGCTTTAATTCCAAAGTTCACTATTCTTCTTATGTTTTTGAATTCAAAAAGATTACTCACTTTGGTGAGGTTTACATCCGCTACACATCATGTAAAGGCTTACCTTTGCCCTCCACATCAGCCATAGTTTGAAGACATCAACGTGGCGGCCGCATTGCAAGGCCTTGTCTCCAGTGTCATATGACAGGTCGTAGTGCTTGTCTTGTTGAAAGAGGTAGGAAGCATGCATTTGATTGCAGCTTTGCATCAGTCCCTTTAAGAGAAACGGACACACTATAAAGGGTGGATGGAACACTGCACCACTTTACTGCGACAAGAACCATGTGTGCTTGGCAACTCCCCATCCTTGACTGAGGTATGTGTGGGAGCCAAGACCCATGTTCTTGAAAGATTGCCTAAGACATGGAACTTGGAAAATGTATTGTTTTGGACTGAAGCTCCCAGAAACAGTAGCTTTTGTGAGTTCTGTTAAGGACAAGATATAGATTCCAGCGCTGGCATAAGCAAAAAGAGCAGTACTTTTGAACTACAGTACATTATGAATTTGTGCCATGGGTATCACTAACATACATTCTGACCTACATAGCTATCAACCCGTTGCCACAAATCCTCCAAATATTACATGAAAATGCACAATTACCAGCAGCATCTCCTCCCAAAAAAACTTTGCAATCTCCAGCTAATTGTAAAGGTGGGAGTGCCTAGCAGCAGACATGTTCTTCTAACATGAAATATAGTGGAGAAACGTACAAATGTGTCACACTAGTTGCATGTCAATAGCTAAGCTCCTTCCGGGGTTTTTCTTTATTTAGGGCATGGGTAGACAAATTCAGAGGGCTGCATTTTTGCAATGACTCTAACCTGGGATAGAAACACATCCTTCTTTCCCAGGAAATAGTTGCTACTGACATTTCTCTGATCTGCGGACTACAGATTCATTTTTTTGTTTCACTTATATATAAACTGGGTAATAAGTACACTTGTCAAGTCAGCAAGTATCCATTCCTTGATATTCTCCAATCTTGATACATGAAGGTATAGCCTTTTTAGTATCACAGAGGTAGACCCTTGAGATATTTCAGGCAGCAGATCCTTGTTTAACAATTGCAAAATTATTTGTGTCTGACTAACAGACAATGTAGAGATCGTATGATGAATTTAAAGGCCAGTGTGTAAATACTACTGGAAGCAGATCTAGAGTATATAAGGTAATGAAAAAATCAAGGATATTTAAGAGCAGCCATTCTCAATAGGGGGCCCTATGGCCCCCAGTGGGCTCCTGGTATACTTGAAGGGGGCCACAAATGGAAAACCTTTCTATCCTATTTTTCTGTTCATATTGTAGCCTTGTTTGACAGTGAGCCCTAGAACCTGAGAAGAGCTCCTGAAAAGACTGCGGCCAAAAAAGGGTGGGAATGGCTACTTCGGAGTGTCTTTAATTGAGTAGACCCCATAGTCTAGGGACTTTGGATGGCAACATCCCATTCCCTGACATTCTGAGTCCAAAACCTGAGAATGGATTGCTTATTCAGAGTCTCAGGGACAAAGCCTTAGAGGAGGTGATCCTAGCCAGAATTACGAGAAAGTATTCAGGCAAGTGGTGAGAGTCAAACTGATGGAAACATACCTCTTCTCGAACAAGCAACGCAGAGCATTGCAGAGGGACCCCCATCATCTTATGTGGATTCCATGTCACAGAATTGGCCCTAGAAAAGCAGCCAGACTTTAAAAGGAGACACTACAAAGTGGGACTGCAAAGGCAGGAAATGCGAATGGCAAAATAAAATAAAAACAAGGTTTTGTAAAGTTAAAGCAGTAAGGCTGAAAATAAGTTCTGTGTGAGAGAGGTGGAGCCCCACCCAGAGGGACTGAAAATTAGAGGGTACATTGGTAGCAAGTCTTAAGTTTGCATATTCTTCTTTCTTCCTGTTTTGCACCTGTGAGGAAGAGGTCAGAAGCATTTACTTCTGATGTTAAGCAAAGCAAAGAGCCCTGTGATTTACTTCCAGACTTCAGCACCATGACATCTAAACTCCACCTAGTGAAAAACGATTCAGGGTCTGGAAGCATGGCTTGGCTAGGATAGTTTGTTTTAGCTTGTCCAATATAAGAAGCCACAGTTACCTGAAAATTCAATATTATAGGAAACCGTGGTTATTTTAAAACTAGAAAGTGATGCCTCTGATCTCCTTCTCTAGCATGTGAGACAGGAGAATGTATGAGCTGCTAGTGCATGAAACCAAGGCTCATGGTAGCTTCTTACAAAACCATCGCTTCTCTTTATGTCTCAACTAGTTAACCTTATTGAAAACACTAACGAGCATCACAGAAGGAAGAAATACTGGACAATGATTATTAACCTTCACTTTCTGTGCAAGTAGCTTTATGATCAGACCTCTGAAGTAAATGAGCAGCAGATATTCCCTGCCAAGGACAAATATTGTAGGCTTTTACTTCAGTGTTAATAAACTAAAATGACAACAACCAAAAATCCAGCAGAGAATATAACTTTTAAAGCATTTGTTCAGTAGTCTTCAGTTCAATTACTGAGATATTTTTGATATTTGATAAGGGCTGATTTTCCTAAAAAGAAAAGAAGTAGAATTGTAAGAATTTTTTTTTCTAGCTGGTAAGATCAGTGTTCACTAAGCTCTATGTGACCTAACAAATTTGTCTAGGTCTATGTCTTTCTCTATGACTATGTGGTTTGCATTTAACTTTGAAATGTAGGTTTTTAATATGAGTTGCAACTTAGATCTTATTTAATTAATCTTTTATTTTGCTTTCATTTCTATAAATAAGGAGACACGGCTACATCATGTGTAATAGCAAATGGTAGTAAAAAGCAGTGGTAGGGAAGACCATCGGACTGTCAATGCTAACAGTGAATACTCAAAACTACATCCAGAAGGCTCTCATTTTGACTTCTAGGTGTGCAGCTTTAGTACAGCTGATTTCCACAATGAAAACATGCATTTTAATCAGCTCATGTTAATCCTGTGAGTCCACATCACTGAAAGAAACTGAAGCAGAACCAAAACAATCTGTTCAGCCCATATGAACAGATTTCCATGGAAACTGCAAGGATGAGATTCTTTCCTTAGCAAAATCTAGAATTAACATTGCTACTATCTAAGTATGGATTTGCTCCTTTCCTGTATTCCCTGTCACTGCCCTTTCAAAACACTACTTGTAATTTTAAAAAAAATACACAAACATAAATAAATCATGTAGTTCCTTCAGGTTTTTCTGATAAAGGGTGATAAGAAGATGCACTGAAACACTAACATACTGTAGATAAGATAAAAGGAACTTTACCAGATTCTGTCCTAGATGAAGAAATAGCCAATTATTTCAGAACAGATCAGAATTTGAAAGTAGTTGCTAGTGATACATTTGATAGCAACATACTGATTTATTTTAATTGATTTTAATTTTCAGGAATTTAGGTGACAGTGGACAGGGTCTAGCAATGGACTTCCACTGATGAAATTCTGGAGTCCAGCAAGGACAGGAAGTGGTATAGCTCTCCTCCACAGTATGTCCCCTACCACCCACCCCAAAGTAGCTCTGGTGATATGTGAAATCCTTCAGAGCCAGCTTCTGAACTGCACATAAGGCTATAGAGGGAGGGAAAGGGGAAGAAAATTTCATCACAATTTGCTAGTGCGATTGCAATTAGCTCAGCCACTGAAGTACGTAGTAATAAGTAATACTTCTGTAAGCCCTACCTTTCAACACCATTTAATTTCCATCTATGTTTCCTTGACATCAGCAGCCCACCGCCCCATGCTCCCTGGAAAAGAAGACAATAATCATTCACTATGCTAATGCATATTGATGTGTGGGGAATGTGTGAATGGCTTCTGGGTCTCTAATTTGTGTCACTGAAGGAGCAACTAAAATGTGGGAAATTGTAGGGCGCAGAAGTTGATGAATCAGCAGCCAAACGCCAACTGGAGGAAAGCTATGTACATAACTGCTTCTCCTTCCAGCTCTCCTTTGTACAGTTGGTTGTGTGGACTGGTCATGCCCTTGGTTTGCAAAATGTTATGTGCAAAGAGGATCCTGATGGGGGAAGAGCAAATGTGAGCATGCTTATGTGATAGCACAAGCAAACAGAATCCAATCACATATGTGGAGTTTGTGATCACGAGACATGTGCTAACTTGGGTGGCTTTAAAAGAAATACTTTTAAAAAAAGCCTTATCAGGGCAAAGAAATGTCTTTTTGTACTTGGTAAGGCAACCTCCATGTGGCTGGATGGTGCTATATAAATAGGCAAATGCATGCAGGATTGGCCTTTAGATTGTGATTAACTAATACATGACAATCAAATGAAGCTTGAAAGTATGGCGTAGCGCACATCTGAATGATGGTAACAAAGAAAAGGGGACTTTCTTTTACTTTTCTGTCCTATTTGCCCTTCTTCTCAACTATTCTTGACAGATCCTTAAAGTCTTCCAGCAATAAATCTGCGTGCACCTGAAGAAGTAGGCTGTCACTTGTGAAAGTTTAAGCCCCATAAAGGTTGCCACAAGAAATTTTGTTGCTTTTCCTGTAGGATATTAACACAGCTTAGGTCTTAGAATCTTCCACAAACTCTGCTAGAAAGCTTATTTTCGTATTAAACAGTATGCTTGGAGTAATGCTGGCTTCTTGTTAGAATGTTATAATTAGATAATCTGGTATTAATGACTCAGAGCTTAAAGACAGCAATTTCATACTTACATCAACATGCATCCAGATCTTGTACTTTTTGCAGATATCGGCAATCGCTATCAGTGGATCAAATGCCCCATATACTGTGGTTCCTGCTGTGGCACTTACTAGGAAAGGAACAAATCCCTAAGGAGTGGAGTGGGTGGGAAGAAATTAAATGTTAGAATGGAGATAATATCCTTTAGACATAAAGCCTGTTGTCTACCATCACCACTCACCCTTCAAGTCCCCTTGGAAAGTAGCCTATATCATAGAAACTTCACATAATTAGTTCATGGTACACTAATGAGAACAGAACGATCCTACAACTATCAACAGATGAACTTTGCTATTGTGTCTCAGGAGTGGGCAATGTATGACCTGTAGGCCACATAACTATCACCCCTGGCCATTCTAGACCCCCTAACTCCCCAAACACAGTGAAATATTGGGTTGTTTGTCGTTTGCCATTTTTATGTAATTTTCCCCAGACCTATTTTAGACCACCAAAAAGCCTTTAAAAAGAAATAGAAATGTCATTGAGGTTATGAACATGTTGGACTGGTGCCTGAAATGGTAATGGACTGGGTGGGTGGGTGTGTCAATAAATTAAATGTGAAATCCTGGCAAGAAAGAGGTTCTGCAGGTAGGCAGAATTAAGTGTTCAACAACCTATTTTGGGTAGAGCTGCTTTCCTTATGAAAGTGTGTGTGTGTAGCTTTGGAATGCTCCAAGACTTCAGGTCTTGAATTAAGATTAGTATTAAATACCTATTAGATTAACAATTTGTCTAATCCATGTCTTGGGAGAAATTCTTAAATCTGAGATTTGTCATTGGTGTTCAGATGATCTCAATCTCAGTGGCACAGAGTACTTTCTGCTAGCTTCAGCTGTTTCACTAATCATAGCCATTCCTGAGCAGGGATAGGGCTACCCTTGAAGATGAACTGGGAAATTCAATCGGTAAACAACACTGCTGCCAACATTTTAATTAGTACAACTAGGTTGGATCATGTCAGTAGTTTAGGAACTGTATCTGGGTTCAGAGCTAGAAGTTGGAATTCCCCACTATGCCTTCTTAACAAAGGCTAGACTCAATAATCCATAGGGTTCCTTCCAGCTTTGAACTTCTAAGATGATGATAATGCTTTTACATTGATTGTGAAGAATTACATTGGTTATTTATTCACTTTTAAGACCAATTCAATATGTCAGGCTTTAGAGCCTTAACCTTCTCATATGATCTGATTTATATCTTTTCCCCTCAAAAAACTGAGACTCAAAGAATCTCACAGCAATATTTGCCCCCCAAAAGATATATACTGTATATATGAAAACATTTATAGTTTTGTATACATGTACAGATTTTTTACTATTACTGTATTATTATTATTTAAAATCATTCCTAGGTTATGATATTGGAAGCTATTTGGCCTTCCAGACCATTATCCCCTGTTTGAAAGCATCATCTTCAAAAAGCTGTCCAGAGATAAAGGACCATGTAGAAATATTGCTTCTGCTACTTAAATTATGGAAATTATTGCTATTTCTTATATAAATCACGTAATGCAAATATTTTGCAAATAGATGGAAATTGTTGCTTTTTTTGTATAAATCAGGTAAAGCAAATATTTTGCAAATAGATGTCCTTTGTTGGTGCTGCATGTGGTCACTTTATAATATCAAGCAGGATATTTTATTCTCATTCTAGCTTTATAGAACTTGATATTGCCACTTGTTTACTTCCTGTCTTTACCCTTTCATTTGCCAGCATTATTAGAGTTTCTACCTGTAGATGGCAGCAAACTGCCAAAGGCAAAAAAGACCAAATCAATGGAATTAAGAGCTTAGCTTTTATAAATGCAATTGTATACAAAAGTATAATTTTTCTGCACTATCTATGAAGGGCTGGTGAAGTGGGATTTTATCCATGGAAGCTTACAATTAGTTCGATTTTAGTGGATCAATAAAAGTATCACCCTACTCTTGTATTTGTGTAAACTTGAACTATGTGAACTTCTCTAATTCTTTCTAGATCGTATAAAGCTTTTCTGGTTGATACACAATAAAACAGCCACCTAAAAATATAATATTTGCTTTTCCATTGTGATCTCTGCTGAATGAGTAATCTATTGATGTCATTCTGATGGCTTTAATTGGATAAGGGAAGAATCAGTTAGTGGAAACCAAGCAATTATTTACATATAGTTACTTGCATCAATTTCCTTCTGAGGGATAGATGAGTAACATTATGATTATAATAACCAGAAGCTTCACTCTTTTTATGGTGTAACAAGTTTTTTTTTATTTTTTTAGTTACAGGGTTGCAACTTTACTAAATGGTGGAAGAGGAAAATTGCATGGCTCAAGGGTTGGGTTATGGAATGTCTCATGAGGTTGTCTTCTGGTCTGCTACAGGTATTGAGATGACCATCAGATAGATGTCAGGGACACTGTTTTGCACTGCAGGCTAGCTGCTGCACTATTCAGATTATCTAGACACAGTCTAAAAATAACTGTTTTAAGCCAAGACAAATACTGTACAGTTCAAAAACAAGAAAAATCTGATCAATGCTAAAATGTTAACAAATGTACAAATTTAAAATCTCAGAAAGGACTTAGAGAACCAGCATTAACATACATATGATGGGCACAAAAATATCTTACCTTCTTTCTCTGTGACAACCTTCCAGATGTGTCGAGTGATAACACCCATTGTCAACAGCTGGATAGCATGTTGGATGGGGATGATGAGTATAGTAGACCAACACATCTGGAAGGCACCAAGTTTGGAAGAGTTGCCCTAAGAATGGAAACTGTAGGCAAGAATCTACTTGCCTTCTGCTTTGCCTCAATGATTCTCCTTTCAAGATCAGATGGGATCATTTTCCCTCTGGAATACAGAAATCAAAATATGGCAGATATCAGTTGGCACCAGCCCTTTCCAAGCCATTTGATAAGATATTGGGTTAGATAATATACTATTATAGAAGAAATTCTGTTTGCCACTTAGGAGCTATTAGAAATATAAACTCAAAAATGTTGTGCTGTGCATTGCTATATATGTAACCTGCCTACCTAGGTAAATAACTATATAACTTACCTACCTACCTGGGTGAGTGAGTAGGTAATAACAGATGAATTGCTTAAAAGCATATAGCTAATTGGTTAAACCAATTTGTAAGCGGTGGACAGTCTCTGGTTGGTCCTCCAAGGTTTTCTCCACTGCAGATAATGTGGTCTTATAACAATAATTGTGTGTCATCAAGCCAGTTCTAATTCATAATAACCCTCCCATAGTTTTCTAGTTATAAATTAAATGATTTTCATGTTCTTCCTTTCGATGGTGCTCTGGAGCTGTGTAGCCCCAAGTATTGCACAGATGGCATGTAACCTCATCAGCCATGCATGCTCCAAGTGATCTCGGCTGGCCCCTCTCCTAGGAGGTGCAGTGGGGATTCGAATTCCAGGCTCCTGGCTTTCCATTCCAACTCACTGAACTGTACAACAAGGTACTGATACAACAATGAGTTCTGTCCTTCTTGAATGAGTCTGGTTTATGATTTATTTCAATGTTCTATTTACAACCAATGCTGTCAATTTTTTTTGTAAAGCACTTGTTTCATATCACAGCACACTGATGTTGCCCATGAAGTGACTGATCCCCTACTCACACCATCACAATTCAAAGACTGGTCAAGAATCTTGCAGACCATAAAACATGTAGTATAAGATTGACTGAACAAGCCTTGCAACACAGGAACTGCCTGTTCTGGTGTGTATGTGGGAGAGAAAATTTAGTATGCAATGGCAAGTATCATGTTGCATACCTACAGTGACATAGTGCGAATGCCATTAATTAAAGAGTCCCTTCTTGGTTTCTGGTTGCGTGCAACTCACACATAATAAGACAAAAACCACATGCAACCTGAAATTGAAGCAGTCAGTCTCTCACTGCTGGTAACATCATTCTTGCTGTGCTGGGGTAACTATGCTACAGGATTTTCATTTCTGAGTTGTAAAGTCAGAAGAATCACAGTGTGCAGCCTTCCTGGGACTGTACCATTCATATTGGGGGTGGCGAATCACATAATGGAATGATCCTACTGCCTCTGGAAAATTAGCATATCAAGAAGCACATAGTCTTGAATCCTTGTGTGCCAGAGGCTAGCATCCGGTATTCAGGAATTTGCATCATGGAGCAACATTCTATCAAGAGTTTTGCATTCAATCAAGAGATTTGTTCCCCTGTAGGCTGTAATGATATAGCCCTAGGAGGAACATACACATTATTCTACTTAATATGTATAACAGCCTCAAGGCTAAACTCCATGGTTTGCTTAGACTAGTAATGTTGTTCCATCATCTAATTCAGATAGTGTTCCACCCAAGCTTGGAGATTGTACAATTTTAAACATCTGTGTATCAGTTTGAGAAGTAATTTAGAACTGAACCTTAGCTTTATGTGAGCATTGTTTAGTGGCCACCTTCTTGCTGTCATTAGCTTTTATAATGGAACACAATACTTTTATGTCAGTAACATTCCTTTTTAATCCAATGATCACCCACATAAAATACAGATTTGAAAGTTCTTCAGTGAGATCTGCTGAAAACAAGACTTTAAACCATTCCATACAAGCTCTTTCTCCATTTTTCCCTTCCCCATTGCTTTTATAGATTAATTCTTCCCATGGTGATAAAGGATTGGCTTACCTCTCATCACACCTGATTAAAATCACACTGTCAGTACCAATTCCTAAGGCTGCTGCTCCTTTCTTCACAGAAAAATGACTCTGAAAAAGCACATTGAAAGTACAAACATAATGGCTATTATGCTGTTAACAAGGGCTGGTTCCAAGACATCCTGATCAGGATAGAGTGCAATGAAATGTAAAACCAGGCTTATCCAATTCCATGTCTTTTTGGTCTCACCATTTCCATTTTCCACCCTCCCCCACCACCATAGAAACAGATATCATAGATAACCCATCATTACAGCTAAAAGCACATCAGATTTCAAAAGAACCCTGTGCTTAAGGACTGTCCTTCCCCAAAAATTTGCCACCTCCTGAGGAAGAGATAGCTCTTGCTATAACACTCCTATAGAATCAGCTCCTAAGGATTTTCTCCTATTATTAGGGGTTATCCACAAGAACTATTTCCACCCTATGTGTATACACACATATGGCACAAAATAACACTTCATGCAAACATTAAAGTGGAAATCTTATGTTTTAATAAGTCTTTGAAGTACCAAGTAAGACTCAGGCTGGGGCCCGGGATACAACTTAATCACTGCTCTTACTTATTTTTTTCCCATCCTGTTGATCTGATTGTGTTACTGTTTTTCAAACGATGAGATGACATTTAATATTTTCTGAATGGAAGAAGAGAAAATACTACTATGAACTGGTAGCAAAACCCTTAAAAGCTATGTGAACCAAGAAGTCTTAGAGCATTTTTCTGTACTGCATAAGTTAAGGAAAGGATATTGAATACTATTTTAACTGTTGTAGCTCCATCTTACAGAACCTTGGAATTATAGTTTTGTCAGGTACTTAGAATTATTTGCTAGAAAACTCTAGAACTATAAGGCAAAAGAATGTGCCAAGGCAATTGTAAGTACTTCACAAAACTGTAAATCCCTGACACTTGGAGTGATATTAAACTGCTGTAACTATATAGCGTAGACAAACTGTTATGTTCAAATGTCATATTTCATGTGACTAAATCAGATGCCTTTTAGAAGCAACTTCTATTATGCCCGAAACCCATATCTGCAATACTCAGCTATAATACCAAACTACCTTACAGATCTATTCAGTCTAAAATTCTAAGTATTGTTCTGATGGTCTGATGTTATGGGATTGCCAATTTTACTGGAATTAAATTGACATTGGATTTAGATTTGTGGTCCAAATCCCCATTAGGCCACAAAGCTCACTGGGCTATCCTTATTCAGGCACTATCTCTCAGTCTAACCTATCTTGTATTTTTGCAGCGAGGATAAAGCATGATGTGGGGATGGGAAAAACAATGGACATTGAGGTACGGATAGGAAGGCAGAGGTATCCCAGGAGGAAGCAGAATTAATATCTCTTAACTAGTGCTGGGAAACACAGCTGATCACAAACTACTTTGGTCCTCTTTCCCCTTTCCTTTGTGGAGAAGGTGATCTTCATAATTAGTGATAGGAGACTGCAAAGATTCCCTTCAATGTGAGAATAATAGAACGCCTTAAAGGAGGGACAGGAGTTGCCTGCATGAACAACCTCCACTGGGAAGTTTAGGCCAATGGGCCAGAAGTTCTTCTCCCCTGATGTACACTGTCCTACACTCCTTGGAGGAAGGGCAGGATAAATATATTAACAATAAAAACCTGCAAAGATTACCAAAAGTTTGAAATACATACATGAATCAGCAAGGAAGTTTGTCCGATACTGAAAAAAAAGTGACTTTATATTCCCCCTAAATGGAAACCTTATTAGTTAACAAAAATTGAGAGAATAATCATAACAAGAGGAACACCTACATGCTCCGATGTGAAGGCAACCAGTCTTGGAATAGCTGCCATTCCTTTCTCCTTAACTTCTGGGAACATCTTGAAACGTGCAATCAACATAGCATACATGTTAGATATGGCACCACCTGGAGTCCACAGTAACACACTGTTACTTCTTCTGTTCACAATTGCATTGCTTTAAGTACAAATAACATTTGTCATACTTTCTTTGCAAGATGGGTTTTTCTTTTTTATTTAGAAGACACTGTCTAATCTTTGAGAAAGAAAGTCCTTCTTGCATTAATAGTAATGATTTTGTGCTGTCAAGTCAATTCTGACTTATGGTGACCCTTTCCAGGGTTTTTAAGGTAGAGAATACATAGAAATGGTTTACAATTCCCTTCTTCTGGGGATATCCGGGAACTGTGCAGCTTGCCCATGGCCACATAGGCTGGCTCTGTTCTAGCCAACATCTTGCATTATTACAGTGGTTTAGGTATTTGGCTGCAAAGCTAGAGGTTGGGAGTTTGAGTCCCCATTGTGCATCCTGGAAAAGCCAGCCTGTGTGGCCCTGTGCAAGCTGCACAGTCGAAGGGCAACCCCAGAAGAAGGGAATGGTAAACCGCTTCTAAGTAGTCTATCTGGAAAACCTGGGAAAGGATTGCCATATAGTAAATCAGAATTGACTGATGGCACATAATTATATTATCCTGCATTATTACCCCACTCATAATTGAATGTATGTTCCCAATGAATGTTTTCACGTTAAAAAACATCAACAGTTTAGACATGTCAGAAACGGGAAGATTCTGTTGCATCAGCCATTTCTTCCTCTCCTTTTTAAATCTCACAATTCTCTTTGTTTTAGATATTCCCTTCCTGAATTATGCTGTTAGCATCCTTAACCTGCAGTAAGTGAGGCACAGATTTCTACTTATAAACATGGACCATCCCACTGTGTACTCAAATCTTTCTCAAAGAGAAGCCCTCAAGATGTGTTGAGCTAGAACTCTCATTATCGTAGCATGACCATACCTTCTGGAGGTCACCAGAGTGGGAAGTCTAGAATAGAGTACTGTATGGGAAACTATGGTCTTCCAGATGCATTTGGTCTACAACTTCCAGAAGTCCTCACAATTGTCTACGCAAGCTAGGTCTGATGGCAGCTGTAGGCCAAATACATCTGGAAGGTCACAATTTGCAAACCCTGCTTAATATTTATGCCTGATCACTGAATCTTCAGGTTCTAATACAAAATTAATCTGAGTTTTGTACACTTACACATGATTTTCTCCTTCTAATAATCTTATTTGATGGGCTGACCAAATAAGACAGCAGCTTCACAAACAGAAGCTGATAAAAAGTTACTTTATTATTCAATGCTGCTGTGTTTATGCTATCCATAAGCAAACAAAACTTGTTGTCTACTGCCCAGTGATGAATTAAAGAAGAAGGATATACTCTTTTCCTTGATATTTTCAGTGCTCTCCCCATTTTACAAGGTTCCTTTATTAAACAGATTTCTTCATTTCATACAATTCTACTGAGCAAACCTAAAGGGCAAATGACTCTTCTGATTACATTTTCTCAGCCTGTCACTTTGGCTTGTTATAAGCAGTACAATTTGCTTGAAGGAAGCAGGGGCAGACATTAATGTCTTTAATAATCATGTCTCTGGACAGTCATAAATATGCAACATTTCAACATCCAATAGCTGCATAATTAGGAGCAAGCACCCAATTGAACATGTATGTTGCTTTTCTCCCATTAAAACAGCTGCAACAGACATCAGGTGTAAATATGTAAAGAAATATCACGCACCAGGAGAAAATATTCCATCGCCAGCACCCCCTGGCCAGCCAACAATTTCCCTCATTTTTCTTAATGTGACATACTCCAAAAGTACAAACACTGGAGCAATTTCATAGGTGAACCTGGAACAAAGCAATATACACATTTTATTGAAGAAATTAAATCACGGATGGAATTTCCCAGTTCTTGCCTTCCACCTTTAAAGGTTCCACATATGTGACAAGTTGGTTAAAAAAAAAAAAAAACAGTGGCCAGAAACCTGTTCACCTATTTCACACGCACACAACCATTTGTTCTGTAGGTAGCTGAGCTTTTCTGATCTGGTGAAAAGAGACATCTAGTAACTCTTTTGCACAAACATATGCTGCATTGCCTGCCCTGCAAGGTAACTCCAGCTTGCCAGAAATCTTGTGGAACACTCATCTGTTGGCAATTCACACAGAATACTAAGCCATTGTTTAGTGTATACCTGTGGTTATTGTATGAGCTTGGAAGCTGGATTGATTTTAGACCAGTTGGTCCAACAAAAAGTATGATTTCAAATAACTACTCCTCATGGAGTGGGCAGCTTTGAGTCAGGGCCAGAATGGACCCTCTGGAAATCATGTGTGTTGGGGGGCAGGGTTTACACTGATGCCAGCATAAAAACTCCTTAGCAGCTGTGGTTTCTCCCTGTGTTACATAAAGGTTCCAAAGAGTCTTCTGACACCATAGAGCTCTGCCAGCGTGGATAGCAGAATGTCTCTTTCCTTTCCAAGACATAAGAAAAGGGAGAATATGATGCCTGTTTTTGTTTCTGAGTCGCTCCATCAGTTTGTGGTGGTGTGGCTTGGTATGCATGAGGTGGTGTGGCAGCATATGGGAGGGCCAGCAGGGTCCATGGTCTGTTCTGCTCCTTTCTTCCACTCATAAGGGAGAGAACATATCTCAGAATTGGAGCATCTGCCTATAGACAGAAGGTCCCAGGTTCAGCCCTCAGTTGAAGAATCTTAGTTGACAGGGCTGAGAAAGATCAGCCCTGAACTTGGAAGGCTATTGCTAGTTAAAGTTGACAGTATTGACCTACATGCCATGGCAAAGTACAAGGTAGATTCCTATTTGTTAAAGGCAGAAACCTTCTCAGCACAGATTCCAAATCTTGATGTAAATGTAATGGGCTTGATCCAGAGTCCAAAATCCAATACAATACCTGCAGTAGTGTTGAGAGGTTTCCAAAGGGTTTTCCAGCCTCTGGAAACCAACACAACACTGATGGCAGCAACAGAGGGTTTTCCAAGTGCCTGGAGCAGGATTTGGGGTTACTTAGCACTTTGCAGATGTGGTGGCGCTGCGGGCTAAACCGCAAAAGCCTTTGCGTGCTGCAGGGTCAGAAGACCAGCAGTCGTAAGATCGAATCCACGTGATGGAGTGAGCTCCCGTCGCTTTGTCCCAGCTCCTCGCCAACCTAGCAGTTCGAAAGCATGTAATAAATAGGTACCACCTCGGTGGGAAGGTAAAACGGCGTTCCCAAGTCACGCTGGCCATCTGACAATGGAAACTGTCTTCGGACAAGCGCTGGCTCTACAGCTTGAAAACGGGATAAGCACTGTGCCCTAAAGTCGGATATGACTGGACTAAAAATGTCAAGGGGAACCTTTCCCTTTACCTTAGCACATTGCAGAAGGGTGGAAGGGCTGTGTCTTCCATTATGTGCAAATATAAGCCAGAGATTGCATGGTGTGCTAAGAACACAGGACATCATGCTCTATATTTCCTAATAGGATTTTGCCCATCCAGTGGGGCTAACAGTTGGACATGATGGATGTGTCTCATTGGTTTCAGTGCATCTGCTGTAAGCAAGGACTAGGTTTGGATGCAACCCAGAAATGAAACTTATACAGGTTAAAACAAATAAATACACAGCACACAACAAAGAAGATCATCTCAAATTTAGATTCAAATTAAAACATTTTCTACTTCCTTCTTGAGGAGGTCTTGCATGGTTGTTACTTTGCAGTTGTATTTATTCTGAATGTGAAGCAGCATGAAAAACTCTCAAAAGGAGCTCTGTTTTAAAGGACTGTTTAGGGTAGCCTTAATACTCCGTTGCCCAATGTGGAGTAGTGGATAGGATGATGGACTAGGACTCTGGAGAACAGGGTTTGAATCCTTACTTTGCCATGGAAACACACTTGGGGAATGGAAATATCTTACATACCTTGAAATTATAAATCCATTCTGACTTGACAGCATATAACTAATATTGCATTAACTAAACTTAAAGGTACCCACTCAAAATGATAAGCCAATTTATTTACTTACATGTTAGTGTTGGCTGTAGAAGTTAGCCAATCTGCAGCTAATCCAACCATATCCAATCCAGTTGATAGTTGATTGAAATACCTGGGATGTCCTGCATAATATTAAAAATGTTTATTCAAAAATCATTGGGTTTTAGTCTCACATAAGGGCAAGCAGAAGATTTCATGTCATCATACCTATCATATGTCAACATTCTGTTAGTACCAAACAAAATCCTATTGTAATTAGAACTTGGGTAAGACATGTTGTCTAGGGAAACTGCTGCCTGGATCTCCCCCTAAGAGTCCTACAGACCTTTATAAATCTCTATTGTGGGGGAGGGAAACCAGTAGCATGTGTTTGTCACAGTCAGCATTTATCCCAATTAAGAGTTAATTCCAGAATGAAACCAGACAATCATTTCTAATCTTATCAAAATTCATGTGAGTATCAAGATATAAGCCTTTCAAATGATTCCAAGCAACATCAGTTTGGCTAATTTTATAAGCTTTATTTATCTACATTGCTTCTACATTTCATAAGCACAAAAATACTTCACAGTTGTTGAAAAAATACAAAAGTTTTACAGCTATGGACAGCACAAATACTTTAAAAATACATAAAAACTAAACTTACTCAATCCAAAACACAGCAGGGTAAAAAGTAAAAAATGTTTTAGTTACATTCTAAAAATGCAGAAGCTTATATCCTAAAAAGCCACATTTTTTTAAAAAAGGCAGATAATAATATCTTAAAATATGAACATTTTTTAGAATAAAAAATTTATAGAAAATTACTTCGCCTCTAAGCATATTAAGAACACACAAAATAATTGTAAGTGTTCATCCAACAAGGCCAGTTTTAATCTATGGAGGAAAATCCATGTTGATTGTGTTGTTGTCTTCTGGAAATGAAACCTACTGCTATGCTGCTACACAACAATTGTCGGTGTCTGGTGTGTGTGTGGCATAGCGTGAAGGGTTGCCTTGTTAGGACAAGATGCTCATCCCTGTCTGAGCACAAAGGACCACATACAAAAGCCTACTGACTTGTTAGCGGAAAGCTACTTCAACACTGGTGATGAGACAATGTCCTTTGAACCTAAGGGCAGCACCCTTGCTTAGAGGGCTTTGGACAGTATATGTCCTCCAGGAAAAAAACAAAAACAACTGGTGTAGTAGGACTCAAGAGGAATAGCCCAGATACTCTGCCACCAAAAACAGCTACCAAAATTTGCCTGATGCTGGAGCTGGCCCTGGTATGTCCATAGAAGGGCAGAGAACTATACCTGATATTAAAGAAACATTGACTTAATGGATACTTAAAAAAGGCAGGTATCTGAGACTCCTGTGTCCACTTGGACCAACCAGACATAAATTCCCTGAGTAGAGCTGCAGCATCTTCCTAACACTCCATGTTATATATACTGAGTCGCATGGTAATTGTGTTAACTGGTAGTTTTGGACCAGCTAGAAGCCCAATCAGCTTATGTTCTTTGAGTCCTGATGAAGAAAAAAATCACTGTGCCTTAAAACATTTGTTGTACAGCTAGTTATTATGTACAGCATTATAGAATATAGCAAAAAGAAACTGCAGTTCCTGTTGCATGCTAAGTAGTGTCACCTGCCCTGAATCCAGACGGATTTGGTCTCTATTGAAGTGTGGTGCAGCACAAATGACCAGTCTTCCCTCCTATATCAGAGGAGCTAAAATGACCTCTACACACCAAAGAGATATTTTATCCCCTAGCCTCCCTAGATTAAAATGGGAAGAGAAGATTTACTGTTGTCACAAGGTAGGACTAGTAATGTTTTTGTTCCAACCATGATTTGAGATATAGTCCTAGCCATGTTGCTGGTCTATCAAAGTATTAAAACAATAAACAATCTGACGTAATAGATCCATCCATTCTGGAACCTGACTCAACCTCCTCAGTAGGAGTAGCCTAATTTTTGGTCTGAGATAGTCAAAATGTTTCTCCCCTCCAATATTGTATATTCAGACATGAAGTGGAGAGTTGTCTCAGATTTACCATTAAAAACAAGGCAGCGGTTTCTACTAGAACCATTCAGGGGCACATGAAAGTATGTGTAGCACACCCAGCTCAGAGCTTGGAGAAATTATTTCTTTGAATGAACATTTCCAGAATCTCCAAGTCAGAGAACTGTTGTTAAAAAAAACTTTTCCAAGCTCATTGTTATTACTCCAGACAAATTCAGACAAAGTCCTGGAAATCATTTACTCATCCTGAAAGAAGAAATCACATCTTAGGCATCATTTGCTGTAGTGTTTAAACTTTCTCAGCATGAACATCGGCTGCTTGTCTAAGTTTTTCTAGCACTAGAATCATGTGCAGTAACTCCTTGTCTTATCTTGGCTGGAGGATTCTGAGAGTTGTCATCCAACATATTTGGAGGGTACCAGATTAGGGAAGGCTAATTCCTACTGTTCCAGATGCTTACATTTAATGAGTAACTGTATGTGAACCAGCTTCTCCATGGCCTTATGTGTTACTAAAGGAGAGAGCTTGTTCTCTCCCACTTGGTGGCCTGGCTAACGATGAATTGTAACAGTGTAAGTTGATCTTTAGATTGCTGCATTGCTTTTCTCACAGTACGTGACATACATGTTCTTTCTTGCTTCCCTGAACAACAAAACAACAGTGATGACAACAAAACCAACTGTGTATACCCTGCTGGCAGATAACAAACAATTCACATTTCCATGCTTGTGTTTCTAATCAAACAAATGGTTGATGATGCTGTGTTGGAAGAATTATATGCTGGTATTAAATATCTACCTTGGAAATATCCCTTGATCTTCTGTGGGCTACAGCTGAATTACTGGAAATAGCATGCTGTTTTGCTATATAAAGTGATATGCCCTTAGGTCTTGTCATTAATGAAGAATGTTAATTGGTCAGTTAGGCTGGTCTTTTGTACAAAACACTTTCCAAGGTAGTTGAAAAACAAATATCGGAATTTATAACCAGAATTTATAACCCAGAAAATAGGTGTGGGAGGGGAAAGGAGAGAGGGAGGGAGGGAGAAGAGGAAGAGGAAGAACTGACTGATGTCGCTATAAAACATAAATTGCCAGTGCTTGTATTTGCATCCATAAAACATCTGTTGGTTCTGTACAATTGTGTACAGACCAATTGCTGCAAAACTTTGGTCAGTATCCTATTATCAAAATGCAGAATGGAAGGACAATTGTGTAGGTGTTTCCCCCCCCCCCATTCCAGCGTATTTTCCATTGCACAATCTGTTGTGTGACCAGTCTTGCAGCTAGTTCAAGAACTAGCCCATGACTGAGATGTGCTGGAATGGTGGTGGCAAAAGTTTACCTGATTGCCCTTCCATTCTTTAGACAACAGAATACTAACCCTTGTGTGCACAATCCACAGGAAGTTAGCAACAATTTTCTTACTAATCATTGGAACTTGATCCTAACTAATTTCTGCTGCCTTAGTACTTACAAGTTCTCAGGATGTCCTCCTATAATTAACATTTTTAAACAGAGCTGATGAATGTCTGACCCACAGGAGGCTATTGAACCACAACTCCCACGATCCTTTGCTGCCGGTTATGTTTGCTAGGGCTGGTAGGGATTCCAATAACATCTGGAAGGCCACCCATTTACCAATGTTATTGCAAAGGTCCCGTCCCCCCTCCCCCCCCCGTGGCTCAGGAAAAGACAGAAGTGTGCAAAGCTTGAGGGGTTTAATAAAGGGAAATGGCAAGTTACACAATATAAAAATGTGTTTTATTACCAGAAGTGAGTCTACAGTTGTGGTGCTTCAAACAGGAGGCACAACTGTCTTGGGATTCAGGTCTATTGGGCAATGGTTAATCCAGACCTGCACAAGGACTGGATAGCTCAATGGCTTAGATACCTGGCTGTGGAGTCAGAGGTTAAGAGTTTGATTCCCCAGTGTGCCTCCTTGTCAAGGGCTGGATTTGATGATGCAGAGCAGTAGTTCTTAACCTTTGTTACTTGGATGTTTTCGAACTGCAACTCCCAGAAACCCCAGCCAGCACAGTTGGTGCTGAAGGCTTCTGGGAGTTGCAGTCCAAAACTCCTGAGTAACCGAAGGTTAAGAACCAGTGATCCAGAGGGACCCTTCCAGCTCTGCAATCCTAAGATTAAGATTATTATTTCTAGGGAAAGTTTTCTGTTTAATTGCAGCCTAAGGAAACTGAAATAATGAAACAACATTTTGTTTCCAACTGCATTTTCTCCTTCCCTTTAAAATGAAGTCAGTGGTGCCTTTTAGCAGCAGCTCTTTGAAGCTCTTTGTTCACATGCCACATGTTGTCAATAAATGCTATATTTCAAAGCCAGAAGCGGGCGTACCAGCTGAGAAGCTTGCCGTGGCTTGTAATAACCTCCATGATGAATAGCTAAAGATTATAAGCGACAGGACGAAATGAGGAAATGGAACCCTTTGCAGACCGCTTTGCAGAAGAGTCAGAGAGTGAGAATTGCCCGGGCGTCAGAAATACATATCATTTCTCCATTGTCAGGACATGTCCAATTAGAAATAGCTGAATTTCCTGGTAATTGTGATTTTAAATAAGCTTGATTGAAGTCAACGTCATTGTTGTGTCAAAATGATTCATGAGGAAATATTCTATGGACTGATTAGTCCATTTACATTGAGTGTGGGTTGCAAAGTGTGGGTTGCCAGATGTGGTTGCTGGACTGCTACTCTCATCAGCCCTTGCCAGGATAGCCAACTGTGAGGAATGCTGGGATATGAAGTTCAACAACATCTGGAAGGCTGCTGTTTGCCCACCCTAGACTGATGGGGTCAGTTTTATTGCCTTCTGGGCTGTTTCGGAACCTTTTTGAAAATTTGCTTCTGAAATGGTTTCTGAAGCTATTAGAACAATCATGAAACATGAAAAACTGCATACAAAGTCACTTCTGATACCAGTAAGGAGAAAGATAAGTGACTGATTTAGATGCATTTATTAAAAAAAACCAAAAAAAGAAAGAAACCAGCTTTAACTTAGGGATTTTGAACATGACTACCTGCAAGAGAAGTAGGACACATGGCAGTGCTGTTAAGAAAAGACATGCAAAAACATAAAGAGAAATTATCATCCT